ATTTTATTTATTTATTTATTTATTTATTATTATTATTATTATTTTTTTTTTTTTTTTGAAAATTTCCAAAATCGTTCCAAATGGTGGAGGGTATTCAAAGATCGGCCCGGCCGAATCTACTGTTTTTTTTTTTTTTTGAGTGAAGGATAACATGCGAAAATAAATTATCTACTTTAAGAAAAATAGGAAATTTTTAATAATGGCTATTTATACATATTCGTACACATAGCTAATTACAACGATAGATATGTCATTAATTTTAAAAGGAAAAAAAATGGAATTATTTTCCAAAACCCTAATAAAAATTGTTCGTCACACCCTAATGTTCCCACATTTTTACAGATGTTTCAATGTTTTAGTACTTTACGTAGGACATGAAAAGCAATCAAACAAAATAACAAATACTACAAAGATATACACCAGAGATGATGAGTATCTGCCAAAAATTACAAAGACAACAAGTTCATGGTGCCAACAACTACAACAACACCGGCCCGAGAGTATTTGCAATTTTAGGTCAAGTTCAAACCTCTATGGCATGGTTTGCTACATTTTGGCAAACAAAACCTTAATGGAAGTCTAAACAAAGAGCTGAAATTATTTCCGAATTCATTTCAAGGCCAATAATGCGCACTATACGAGAAGAGGAGGGGGAGGAAGTTGTGAAAAGCAAACAATGCATGCATTTGCAATTTAAATAGAATTTGAAAAATTTCAAATTGAGCTTCTGGTACAGTTGATGGTAGTAATTTCGCTCTTTTCAAACAACAGCGAGCAACAAAATATTTTACGTGAAACCATTCAAGTGGCAAATATGAATGGTATTTCAATGTTGCCAAAGGAAGGACCGGAATGTTGCACATTGTTTTTGAGTGGCAACATGTTGTTCAAAAGGACTAGAGAAACATTTCAGGGGAACCATACGGATGTGTGACTGCACAAATGGGTCTACAGCAACATGTCCACACCGAAAGCTTTTCATTCATGACATTCATAACTAGGACCGATGCGGCAGCAACAAGGTTCCTTCAATCGACAGCATCCTTGAAAGGTGATTATTTTTAAAACACACACCCGAGGCGAATGCACTTAACAGCAAACACTTAATATTAGTACCCCTCCAGTGTTGTCAGAATTTTCCATAAAATAGTGCAAATCTGCATGCACTAATTAACACCAAGTACTTTCGGTAAATGGCGATGATGAAGGTGATTAGGAGGAGAGCGAGCAAAAAGAGGAAGATGGTTATGATTGGAATTTATCACAATTTTAGCATCGGAAATGTGCATAGAAATGTTAAATGCATTAGTGAAGAGCATAATTATGGACTTTATGTTGCATTTTATTTTTGGAGCACAAGAGGGTTGAATAATCCTGATTTTATTTATAGAAATAATTTGTAGCTGTTTGCGGTCGGTGAACGGAATATGACGATTTGTGTTGGCTGGGTCAGTATATGTAAGCTTTTGCTGGCTACGATATTACCACATTTTTCTAAAATGTCAAACTCCTAATAGAAAATTGTATTTCTTTCGCTATTCACCTCTACGTACCAAGATGTACTCCGAAATTATTTGGGACAGGCAGAAGTACTTACAAATTATTTAAGACAGGCAGAACTGGCCCATTTTACATGGTACGTGGTTCAGAAGAGTTTTTATTGATCGAAACTCCGTCACTTTTTATACTCTACACCACATAGTGGTAAGGGTAATAGATATTTGTGCATTTGATAGTAACATTGAGAAGGAAGCGAGATAAACCCATGGTTAAATTAAATTACTTACTTATTTTTTGAATCGATTAAAGCATGTCAGTCCGTCTGTGCAAGTATTTTTGTCAACAAAATGCAAGTCGCATTTATTATCTGATTGAGATGAAATTTAAATATAGCTCCCATATTTATCTGCAACCGATTTCAGGTTAATTGTGCACCAAATGGCAAATATCAGTCCAAATGATCTGAATTTTAGCACATCTGACCGAGTTCAGTCTAGAAGCAAGTACATCAAATTTGGTGAAAATCTGTTCAGATATAGCTATAGCTCTCATATATATGTTTCATCCGATTTGGTGTTTAAGTGCCTCACATTCGTAATATTTACTCCACAAGAATGACATTTGCTTCCAGATATCAGATAGTGGCTCATCAGCCTGCCAGGTTCAGTCAGAAATGCCTCCTTCTGATTTAGCTGAAACTGATTCACAGTAGGATATTTGGTCCACTCTAAACTGCTCTAAAGTCAAAATATGCATTAAAAAACTATCAAAGGTTTTATTATCTAGTCCTCAAAAATTCCCTACATAAACGCTTATATATATTGCGTATAGCTCTATTCTTTATAGGCATAGTGGTGTAGGGTATCATAAAGTCGGCAACGCCCGTCTTAAGACTTTGTTTTACTGGTTAACATTGGAGATATTTTCATAAATTGTTTCAGTTATCTTTGAGGAATAAAGGCCGAAATAATTTTAGATCCCAGATCTATTTGGATCTAATGCATCAAATGTAGTCGATCTAGGGGTGTCCGTCCGCCTGTCTGTTTGGTGCACACTCTCGAAGGGAGTATCTTGTTTGGAACTAACTTTGTACATCGTTATAGTATTATAAAACTTAGATTGAGTTCGGAGCTGGGCAATATCGAACCACTACTTATGGTACCTCCCCATGGTTAATGATTAAACATCGCAAAGAAAATAATTTAACTCATAGCAAAAGAAAGGATTATTCGATTTCGTTCAAACTTTTCAAATCATAGTCTTTGTATCTCTGCTAGGTAAGGTGCTAAAATGGACAGTATCGGTTTACTCTTTCTAGTACCTCCCGCACAACTGATCCAAACTTCGAATAATCTCCATGTTTATAAAATGTGAAATAGGAGTATACAGTCGGACTCTTATTTCACATTATTCACAATATTTCTAACAAACTGGTTTAAAAATTGGATAGATCGGACCACTCCTTCTGGTACCTCCCCAGCAAAGTATCAAACTTTTGAATAATCGCTTATATAATGTGAAAGAAGAATTCGATTGTCTTTAAATTTCGCCTCTCCCAATATTTTTAAAAAAGACTAATAAAAAGAGATGGTACCTCCCTCACAAATTTGAAGTACTTGTCTCTGGGCCGAAGTGCCAAAATTTAGTGCATTTGAGCTGATATTAGCCATTTGGTGCACAATAAACCTTAAATCGGATAAAGCTATATATGGGTACTATATCGAAATCTGAACCGATCTTGACAAAATTTTAAACACTTATTTGTAAGCTGTATCTGATATCTGGTACCAAAGATCATTGTTGTTGAGTGCATTTTACGCATGTGAGGGACTTAAACCCCCAAAATCGGATGAAACATGTATATGGGAGCTTTAGCTATAACTGAACCGATTTTCACCAAATTTGAAGTACTTGTTTCCAGACAGAATTTGGTCAGATCTGCTGAAACACATCCTATTCGGACGAATATTACACATTTAGCGCACAAAAAATGGAATCGGAAAAAGATATATATGGGTGCTATATCTAAATTTGGACCGATATTCGCCAAAATTGCTAAACATACTTCTAGACTGAACCTGGCCATGTGTGCTAAAGTTCATTCAATTTGAACTGATAAATCGAATGAAAGATATATAAGGAAGCTGAATCGATTTTTCCCAAAAATTGAAGTACTTTCTTCTAGAGCCTGAATTGCGTCGGAAGTGCCAAAATTCAATCCATTTGTGCTCACATTAGGCATTTGCTGCACAATAAACCTGAAATCTGATGCGATATCGTAAAATTTGCAGAGGTATTTTTGAACTTCATGAGTTATTTGGTATCAAATATCATTCTTGTGGGGTGAATATATTACGCATACGAGGGACTTAAGACCCCAAATCGGATGAAACATATATATAAGAGCTATAGTATATCTGAACCGATTTCCTGCAAATCTGAAGTAATGATTTAAAGGCTGAATTCGGTCGGATGAGCTGAAACACATCCTATTCGGAGGAATATTACACATTTGGCGCACAAACAAATTTAGACCGATATTCACAAAAAATGCCAAACATACATACAGACTGCTGTCATTCCTAAGCCATTCCTCTGACAGCTGTTAAAATTATTCCAGTGACAGCTCATTATATTGTTTACAAGCGTACAAAAGCATATTGGTGAGAATTTTCCAGAAAAAAGTTATTCGTGATGGAATATTGATTTCATTATATTTGGCTGGAAAACCACAAGTGGCTATCGTTAGAGCACTCCAGCATTTAAATGTGAATAAATCTTTTGTGTCTCGTACCATTGCCCGTTTTCGTGATACTGGTAGTAGGCCGCCTAACAACCGATGGTCTCTCTCCGCTCGTATTAATCGAATAAATGCCGAATATTATGGCGAAAAATACTGCAGAGCAACATTCGGGCAGCGTGTGACGGTTTCATTGGCCGTTTGAAGGCCATAATTCGTGTCAAAGATGCCCAATTCGAACAAATCTAAACCTATTCTAAAATTTGATACTATTTCCGACATTTTTTTGCTTTCATTCAATGAAATTTAAAAAAATGTAAAAATTATGGCGTTGCAGTTTTTTATCTCACCCTGTATATAATATTTTTTCTTCCGACTGTAGGAACATGCCTAAAGTTGGAAATATTACTGTTTTCATTAAATAGCAAATTTTACAAGTTTAATCAAAATATTTTAATCTATGTTATTAATTAGAAAACTAAACAAAGTTTCGAATCGGAATAAATTAACTTTGTTATAATCGAAAAATTCTCCTCGAAAATCCTTAAAGTACCGACTACTGGTACACTTACTTTAGTTGACAACATAGGTATATGAAGTCTATATTGGTTAATTATAAATGTTGCAATTTTTTTGTACATGCAGACTTAAGGAGCACTAATCCTAGGCTAAGAGGTGGTCTAGCCAAAATTATACCGCACCTGAGTAATTGCTGCATAAAATGCTTCTCTAACAATTTCAATATTTTTTCTGCTTACAGGTCTCATACAAACAGGATTTGTTCATGTTGAAGATAATCTTGTAGATATATCAACAAGTCGTGCTTTGCCGGTAAGTTATATCTCAAATAAAAAATTATAATAAAAAAATAATTTACTGCTATTAAGAAAATACTGTAAACAGAAATGTTTAAAAAACTGAAAAAGTTAATCTAAAAAAAATCATCTCAACTTTACCCCAGATGGGACTCGAACCCACAATCCCCGGCTTAGGAGGCCGATGCCGTATCCATTGGGCCACTGGGGCAGTTAGCCGCAATTGAAATAATTGCTGCTAATAAACTCACGAATACACAGCGTAAGAACGAAGCGGGAAATGAAACATCACTGGTTCTAATTATAGAACAACAACACATTCCGAAACCCACCACAGCCAAGAGTACCAGCGACACAAACAAAACACCTTGTTTGGTGAAAACAAATAACAGGCTGCCGTTTATGGGGGGCTGCGATAACAAAAACCATACAACAACAGCAGTGGAAGCAAAAAGAACAACGAGGTATGAATGAGTTCTGACAATGCTAACATCTTTGTATGTCTGTCAGTCCGTCAGCCGGCCACATTCCACCACCAAACGCCCAAGTTGTTATTTATTTTTAAATAAATGAAACACATGTATTCTGACCTAATCGAAAATGTGACGCATTCGAAGAGATAATGCGAAGAGAAAAGATTGTGTGCGCCGTCAACAAAAGAGAAAGTTGCTGGTGGTGGCAATGAAACACGCGTTCGAAGAGAATAGCTTTTTTTTCAACAAATTAAAAGTGCGAATGAAATGCTAAAACGAAGTAAACAAAACTTCAACAGGCTTTCGACGAGTGAAGAAAAAAACATGAAAAAAAACCAGAAAGTTTTATAAAAAGCATGGCAAACGTACGTACTTTCATGTTCGCACGTATGCTTGGCCATATGACGAGTCAACCGTATCTGAAACATGTGCTTTTATTTTGCAGAGGTGTCCAACAGAAATCAAAATGGTTATTTAAATACAGTGCTGGTTATGATATTAGCATTCCCATTTGATTAACCAGCAAAAATGTTCAGTAACAAGTAAATGTATGCATTTTTTTTTTAAATTTAAATTCTTAACATTTATAAACACGTATGTAAATTTTGATCGGCGTAAAATTCTAAGTCGACGTAACACGTCCGTCTGTCTGTGTGTTGTAATCGCTCTAAATCTTTCAAAATACACACATCACAATATTTTTAATAACTCAAGGCCTGGTGTGAAGATATGTTATAAAGATGGTAGAGATCGGACCATTACTTCTTGTTCCTCCCCCACAAAGGGTTCAAAATTTTGAATAACCAAAACGATTATAAAATCCGAAATAAGCATCCGGTTCCAATTATTTCTACTAATACAAGATCTGCTGTGAAGATGGGATATATCGGTCAACGCCATCTGATGCCTCTCCCACATAGGGTTCAATATTTGAAAAACAAAAGTCTCATAGAAAACGAAAAAAGCATCCAGCTCCTAAAATTTCATACGGACAAATGTTTTTGCTAATACATGATCTGTTATGAAAGTGGTATATATCTAAGAACAACTTCTGTTACTTCACCCACAATTTTCAACACTTCTAATCTGTCATAACTTGCGAAACAAGTCAGCGATTCTTTACAACTTGCTATATCTAAATATTTCTCTTAACCAGAGATCTGACAGAAATATGGATTTTTATAAATTTGGATTCAAATGTTCGATTTTTTTCATACCCTTCACCATACTATGGAGAGTATATTAACTTTGTCATTCCGTTTGTAACTCCTCGAAATACTCATGTAAGACCCAACAAAGTGTTTATATTTTTGATCAGCGTAAAATTCTATGTCGATTTAGCGATGTCCGTCTGTGTGTCTGTCTGTTGTAATCACGCTATCATTCGAACGAATCGAGAAGGCTAAAATTTTGCAGACATATATATTTTGCCAGTAGGCAGGTTAAGTTCGTAAATGGGGCATGTAGGTTCACGTTTTCATATAGCGCCCATATAACGGTACGACCCGATGTTTGGTATTTTGATGATTTTAGCGAGACTATTCACCAGAATTGTTTCAAATTTGGTATTTAAAGTTCGTAATGGATACTACAGCCTATGAGAGAAAATAGGGCATGTAGGTTCACGCCTTCGTATAGCCCCCATATAACGGTACCTCCCGATATTTTCATGATTTTAGCGACATTATTTACCGGAATTGTTTCATATTTGGTATTTTAAGTTCGTAATAGATGCTACAGCATAAGGCAGAAAATGGCCCATGTAGGTCCACGTCTTCGTATAGCCCCCATATAACGGTACCCCCTGATATTCGGTATTTTGATGATTTTAGCGACATTATTTACAGGAATTGTTTCCATGTATGTCCACGCCTTCGTATAGCCCCCATATAACGGTACCTCCTGATATTCGGTATTTTGATGATTTTAGCAGCATTATTTAGTAGAAATATTTCAAATTTCGCATTTGGAGTTCGTAAGGAATACTACAGCCTATGACAGAAAATTGTATGAGCAGGGCCACGCTTTATAACCCCCATGGTACTTCCCTATATTCGGTATTTTGATGATTTTATACATTATAGCTAAATTATAAACAGATTTTTTTCAAGTTTCGCATTTGAATATTGTAATAGCTTATGACAAAAGTTACCTATGCAGGTCCACGTCGTCGTATATACCCTAATATACGGCTACATTCGGTATTTTTAAGATTTTAACAGAATTTTTAACGGATTTTATTTTTTTGAGAATTGCTAAATTCGTTCCAAATGGTGGAGGGTATTCAAAGTTCGGTCCGGCCTAACTAACAGCTTTTTTACTCGTTTTTATTAATTTATTATTTTTTTCATAATTTCTAGTTATTTCTGGCAAAGAAATTATTTATTGTTTCCCTATTTAGGCATGAAAGAGCCCCGATTTGCGTCGCTTTTTTCAGTGTATTGTATTTTGTGGTGTATTTAGTAGATTTCGGACGCATTTTTTTAAACAAATTCACTAGAGCCCCGATCTGCGTTGTTAATGCTAATCTTTGGGGAAATATATAAAATAAAGCAAAAACTGCAAATTTGTCATGGCCTTTTAAAAAACGAAGCAAATGAAACATTTTAATTCGGGACAAGCATGTCGGGGCTTTAGTGTAATTGTAACGACTATTGAAAGGAGAGATGGAGGATATTGTCAATTTTTTTACACCTGATGTAGCACTGATAAAAATACTACGATTTGCAAAGTTTGCACAGGAATGGACTATTCTTTCTTGTTCTATATGGAAAATTATTCTCTGTGAAAATGTTGAGCTTTTATGAGCTGAGATACCAGAAGGAGTCGTCCGATGTTGCCCATCTCCGAACTAGATCTAAGTTTGACAACAATATTATGATGCACCGTTTGAACCAAATCGGACGGACGGACACCCTAGATCGACCCCAAATATCCTAAAACGGATTTGGCCAAAAGAGACCTAGAGATAAAGATGGGACAAGACAGAATCAAAATGTGGCAACTTTGTGAAAATACCTCTGTTGTTATGATATCGTAACAACATAGTTAGCAATGTTAAGCGATTTAACCCGATTAGGAAATATGTAATTAATTGGGAAAGTATATGGAATAGAATTTTGAAATCCTATTTTTGAATTTTTCAAACTTTTATTTGTTATTTTTTCTATAAATTTTTTTTATTATCATGATCCTGTCATGAGCGGTTATTCTAGATAGTTTAGACGCAAAGCATCTACTCAGAATGCATTTTGTCTGGTCTTTACCATTTTAGGTCTTTGCCTAGAGTTTATAAATGTTATGTCGATGAGGCACAGTGGATATATATCAAGCGATATATATATATCCTCTGTAGCCATATAATTGAGGGTATAAAAAGCACAAGAGCTGGATATCTTTGAAATGGGGTTAATTTAAACTAATTATTAAAATTATAGAAGCTACATACAAACGCGCATCAAATTTAGCAAAGTTTACATTTCACATTTTGTTACTGATATAAGTTATTGCATACTTTAAGGCACGTAATAGTTCATGTCAATATTCTAAATGGTAGACAATACAGATAGCCGCATCGACACAGCTGCTGGGACAAGGTTAAGTGACCAATCACAATAAAATTAAGATATATATTCTATAGTTTATCGTTTTAAAAATGAGTAATAGTGCTTTTATGATATGATATCAACAATTTTTGAGCAGAATTTTAATCGCGAACGATAACTTTGACCTTAAACGAAAAGTTATACTTTTTGATATATATTCTGTACAATGCCATATAATATACATATATTATATTCATATTGCACATATTATATGGAAATATTAATATTTACCACACTATAAAAGGTTTCCAAATTATTTGTAGCACCTTAAAGTATGTTATAAAAATTGTTAACTGAAATATAGAAGCTGTAGCTTTACATAGCGTAGTAACCATGGTAGAAGAATACAGATATATGCAACAACGTTTGGTAACATTGATATGTTAAAATTTTTAAAATATTTTTTTTTTTTTTTTTTAAATAAGTAGATTTTTAAATTTTTTATACGACATCAATCAGAGGTTGTTATCGAATCTGAATAATTTTTCATACAAAATTTTCAAAATTGGTTTGACAGTTCATTGTCCCAGCAGCTGTGTCGATGCGACTACCTGTATTATTTTACCATGAAAGTAACATAATGTGTATACTAGTTTTTAGAAGGATACAAATTCCGCTCAGCTCATGTCTATTTACGTATGCATATGCAAGAAAAAGAAATGAAAATAAGAAAAAAGTAGCTAAGTTCGGCTGGTCCAATCTTTTAATATCCTCTACCACTTGGAATAAACTTGCAAAATGTAAAAAAAATCGGTAGAACAATGCCACTGTACATAATAGCTAAATTATCAAAATACCGAATATTGGGTGGCATCGTTATGCGGGAGCTACACGAAGACATGAATATTTGTGGGAAATTTTCTATTATCAGAAGCAGAACCCACTGCAAACTCCAAATTCCGAAATTGAAATAATTCTGGTGATAGGTGTGGCAAAAA